AATTAAAACATTATCTAAAGTTATAAGGTTTACTTAACTGCAAATTATTAGTATTCTTATAATCAAATATTTAATCTATCGTAGAAATCAGCATTCATAGTTTATGGCAGCTCAAAATATATTTTATATATTTATTATCTTTATGCATATTGGGTTTTATATATTTTATCATGTTGTAAAAATATTGAGTGTCTTCCTTAGTCCAAACTATGATACGTGTCGGACTTCTATTTTTATAGAAGACCTTTATTATTATTATAATTTATATACCGTCATTTTACGGCGCTGTAAAAAGGAAGGAAAGTGAAATTATGATAATTTCTGATCGAACAATGGTTATGTTTCAGTATTTACTTACTTTTAATATTTGACGTATTTTAACTAAAATCGCGGGTTACTCACGTTAATATACTGAGAAAAGCTCTACTAGTTTCGAACAACAGAGGGGTTGGTTCCTCATGAGCAGCGTGCACGGTCGCGGTGACGTCACGCAGCTCACTTTAGTTATTTTAGTTAATTTAGCATGTCACACAATAGTTATTATAAAAACATTTTTAAGTATTTTACTGCCTCGTTGGCCGTGTGGTCGCAAGTGCGACTGCCGGGCAAAGAGACGCGGTTTCGTTTCGCGGGTCGGGCAAAGTAGTACAGAGTTTAAAAAAAATCTCAGTGATACAACGGAGTCTGGAATTGTGTCCGGTATATAGCAATATGCTCACCCCCTATTCCATGGGACTCATAACATAAATAGTGACAAGTGTTATATTGTACAGTGGCAGTAACTACCGTAATGTGCACCTTTGCCTACCCCTTCCAGAATAAAAGGCGTGATGTTATGTTATTTACTTACTTACAGTATACATAGGGTGTAAAGCAGAAACTATATAAATAAAATTATCTATAATTTAATCAGAGTAAGTACATTAATTTTAAGAATTAAATGCGTTACTATAAATGTTACATTTTAATAAAAAAATGTAATGAAAAAACATTTTCACCGATCGTAATAGCATTAACAACAATTTAATTGCGATATAAAATTGGTAGCCGTTTTGTATAAAAACCAATTTTCATATGATATGAATGACCAACACTGCAATAGTATTTTAAATATTCGAATATTTACAAATGCTTTAAAAGGATTAAGATCCTTTTAAAACAAAGAGCTTGCTTTTAATCACGTGTTACTGTGGAACATAAAAATATAGCTCGAGCTAAAAAAACATAATAATATCATTATGCGAAAAATATTGCAAAATTGTATTTTTTAATTATGAGCCAAAATGCTTGAGACAAATTAATAAATAAAAAAACTATAAACATAAATTTACACGTCAAAAATATTTATGTACTCGTCATTATTTAGTTCATAAATGGCAATATTCTAGACAAAGACGAGAACGCAATCTTATTGCCTACGAAAGGCATACATGGTTACACAATCAGCGACAATGAAAAATGTAAGGACAAGACTCAAGCAAAACCTCGCCAGTGATATCCGAGTATAAATATTTGAACAATCTCTACCCTGGAACTCACTACAAAGCTGAACTATAAGAATTATTCATTACATTGCTATGCTTTCTTCCAGCAGCAAAAAATCAAAACTTACCCCTTTAAGGCATTTTTCTACTTATTTTTAAAGAGGTATACAAAAATATTCTATAAAAGTGCTTCATAATCAATTGACCAGGGACTGAGCCTCAAATGCTTCTTAAATGTAATACACTGGTCTACAAATAAACACCGGCTGTACTAAACGATTATCATGTATCTAATACAAATTTAGCCACCTCACTTGACCCAAACGTCCCAAGTGTAATTAAACCGACTGGGAGCAGCTAACGGGTCTCTAAAAACTGGTCCTTTTCTAAATATTGTTTTTTTCACCTCCTCTTCCAACTGAGCTTGCATTCTCGACACTAAGTCGGGATAAGTCGCTGACAAATCCCTCGTTTCACACGGATCCTCTTTTATATTGAAAAGGCATGATGTCTCTGAAAATTTATACATAAAATTCAACAATTTATATCCATCAACGGATAAACAAATAAATACATTTTGATAACTGTAATATTTAACGTCCATAATCATTTTTAGAAGATTTAATATGAAACTTTATTCTGTTTGTAGATTCAATATGACGTTTAACGGACATATAAAAATTTGCTTTATGACTTGAGATATAACTTTTGAAGCTATTTCATCTTACCTTTGCTTGGATGACATAACGGAACTGACGATACATCACACTTGATTGTTGTATTGTTCCTCAGACTCAAGTTGGCGGTATTGAAGGTTAATCCAATTGAGTCAAGAACACTGTACATTGTGCTGTCCAAAATTGCTTTAACGTAAGACGGTGGTTTACCAATTATTCCTGTGAGATTATTGCCTTGGTGAATACCATAACCCTTGTCGACGTCTCCCGTCACTAATTTATAATCTCCGTATATTGCTGAAGCATATTCTGAGGTATCATCGATTTCAAACATCGTTTGTCGTTCTGAAGGCAAATTAGAGTTAATGTTCTGCCAATGGTCGATTCCATCAATATCTGGTGGAGGTTTTACACCAGCAGCACTCAACAAAGTGGGCAACCAATCCGTGACGTGCATGTATCCATCCCAATAATGACTCGTATTGTTCAAATTTGTACTCCATAATAACCCAGCTACTCTTATACCACCTTCATAAGGTGTTAATTTAATTCCTCTGAATGGATAATTAGAGGCAAAGTTATTAAACTGTCCATATGACATGCCTCCATTATCAGAAATGAATGTTACTATTGTATTGTGTATGATGCCTTTTTCATGTAAAGCTTTGACGATATTACCAACGCTGTCATCTAGTTTCTTCATCATGGCTGTAAGGCAAAATCAAAATTTTATTTTTTGCATTTTTATACATATTTTTATTCCATGAGTTACTCTTTATGTACCTGCAAATATTCTCCTCTCTGGTGACTCCACATGTCTCATCTGTCGAACAATTTCTGGTGGCGCCTGCAATGGGGCACCATCATTGGCCGAGTGGGGTGCGTTATGAGCAACCATCAGAAATAGTGGAGATGATGTGTCATGATTCTTGATAACTAGAATAAAACAAAAATTAAATTATAAACAGTTGTTAAGAAGGTTGTCTAGAAGATATCATATTCAGTGATAATGACCGCCTTTGACCCATTTTTTAATGTGAATGCTATGTTTATGTACATATTATTATCTGATAAAATGCAAAAATACCTAAGTTTATTGACATCATTGGGTTGGACATTAAATATAGAAAGTCATAAAACTTACCAGATATTGCATGATCTGTATAGACGTCAGTGATGTATCCTTCCACGTCCCACGCGGGTGTTAAATTTCTGAATAATGTCAAACCAGAAACATGACCGATAGACCACTAAAAAAAATATGCAAATTATATGACCATATTAGCACCTAAATTCATTATGTTATTATGAGAAAAATATCTATGTAAATCTAACAAGTAACAATTTTAAAACCTGTTGTTTTAGTAGCTCTGTGCAATTTTGTATGTTAATGAAAATGAGGTGGACCTATTATGCTGCCTTGGGAATACCGACGTTGGTAGTAGGCTAAATTTAATTTTACATCGAGTTATGTAGGTATAAACAACCGATAAATATACTGAATTCTGATAATAAGTTCAATGCTAATAATTAATTATAATCTCAGGCTAAATTACAGATTAATTATCTGTTCAATTTTAGGTCAAAGATAAAGATCTAGATATATTGAATGTAATAAAGATGATTATCGAATAATGTTTTTAAGGTCAAACGTTGTAAATTTGTGTAAACCACAATTTTCAAATTTAAAAGTCTTTAATTGTGATTTTGGTCAGAATGTCAGTTCTACATCACACAACATCTGTGAATAAATTGGTAATCTGAATAAATCCTTACCAACTCTTCATAAGTGTACTCATAATAATCCATGTAGCCTCCTCGATGGCCAAAATGGCTGTCAAAACCTCTGTTGGTTGGCAAATATTCCGCTCTAGAAGCACCGACATGCCACTTGCCAATCAACTGCGTTGAATAGCCAATATCCTTGAAATATTGCGGCAACAATTTCAAATCCGTTGGTATCCCCCTGTCATCACTCATTGTCAATGGAGGATAGCCTTGCATTCCTGAAGAAAGGAAAATATTTTTACTATAGTACTTATAATTTCTAATTATAAGTTTGTAATCGCCAACCCGCATTGAGCAAGCGTGGTGATCAATGCTCAAACCTTCTCCGTGTGAGAAGAGGCTTTGCTTAGTAGTGGGCATATAGGCTGTTGATGATGATGATGACAGTAATTAAATAACGACCAAACTAAACTAGCCAACATAATACTAAGAAATAGCATCAGTTAAATAATAAAATTAAAACTTAATTTGAAGTTAAATGTCATTTAATTATTAGATATATAATTTTAAGTTTCATTTTTCTATTCCCACAGTTTCACATGTGTTCTTTGTTCATTGTTGTAGAGTTGAGTAATAAAACTTAAGAACAGTGCCTACAATAAATTTTCCTCTTTCGTAAATTGTAGTTGAAAGAAGCAAATTCATCACTTAAATCAAAATTACATTAATCTATCCGGTTTCCACCCTAGTGGAGAGGAGACTAGAGGAGATGTGCTATGAAGCTGACAGGCTAATTCCACAAAAGCAAAGAGAAGATGACAAAATGAGCATTCAAAGTCCATCGAATGACGCATTCGGATGTGTAAAATGCGGGAAGAAGTCCGGTCGCTCGACTAGACACTTGTCCGCTCTGCCGAGCCACTGGCCTCTCGCCGCACAAAATTCTATAGAAAATTGATACATCTCCCCTCCTCTCCGCTTTGGTAGAAACCGAGCCTTAACTTCTACTAGCAGCAGCTTCACCCGTTTAATGGAGTTTATGACCCATTAGTTAGTTCAGGACACCAGTCTCTGTCCACTTTTACCAATTTCATCATCAAATTGAATCAATCAAACTTAAATTAAAGTATTAATTACATTACCGATTTTATACGAATATTTTCCAGTAAGGAGTGCCGATCGTGAAGGAGTACATATCGCGTGGCTGTAGTATCTCCCTAGTGTTACTCCCGAATACGCCAACAAGTCAATGTTTGGGGTTAAAATTTGATCCGAGCCGTGGAAACTGACGTCATCCCATCCCTTTAATAAATAAAAGAAGTCCAAATGTTACGACTGTAAACAGTACCTCTACCACGTACAGGCTTCTTCTCATACAGAAAAGGAATCATCAAGAATCACTGATCATTGTATTAGCGTAGCAAGACTAGCAAGTGCAATCTATTTATACATCAGTTATATTATGAGTCTCATGATAAGCCTTAAATTGATATATAACTAGGATTACATTGTTGATATACAAGGCAGGTTGCGAACTATAAGAATCGCACACCTGAATCCCCCAATGGATATATTATTATACAATCTAATGTTTAAAATAAAACATGTAAACTAACTCTATAATAGCTTCTCATTTACTGCACAATGAATAATTAAATTAAATGTAAATAGATAATACATCTATTGTGTTCTTAGACTTAGCCAAGTTATTTTAATCAATGTTTTAATTACTTGTGTTATAACTCGGAGTACTAGTTTTACGGTTTAGATTACATGTTATTATACACACAAATGTATTAGTATCAGGATTGCTATTCATCGCTCTCATATTTGTATTTTTACAAATGTTACGAGAACGGTAAGTGATATTTTTCACGATAAATAGGTCGTTAACCTTAAGCTTCTTCACGTTTACAAAATTCGTGTCATACACTCATAATGACTAGCATATATTTAACAGAAGGTTATGAACTCCAATCCTGGATCTCGATCGGACAATATATTACTTTCACATTTTGAAATAAGTACGTAAGTGACTGGACTTGGGCCCGGTATATGGGATACACAACTAGCAAAAAGTGGATGTCACGTTAGTCCACCTTTGTCTACCCTTATGGAAAACATAAAACGTGATTTGATATATTGATAACTGCTTATAATTCGCGTGAAAAATACGTTTCCTCCAATATATCATACTCCAGAAAGTTACATGCAGCAAAACTAAAAACTTACTTGTCACGCATTGACGCATACATTTAATTTTAAATTTATAACATAACATCGCGCCTTTTATCCCCGAAGGGGTAGGCAGAGGTGTACATTACGACACTTAATGCCAATTACACCGTAACACCCACTTTTCAGTTTTTATGTTATGAGTCTCATGTGATAGGGGGTGAGCCTACATATACCGGGCACATTTCCAGACTCCGTGCTACTACTGAGATTTTTAGAAAACCCAGTAATACTTTGCCCAACCCGGGAATCGAACCCAAGACCCCTTGCGCGGCAGTCGCACTTGCGACCACTCGACAACGAGGCAGTTTTAAATTTATATCCACCCAATTCACGTGACGATCACAGCAATTAAGATATAAACATCAATAAACAAATGATTTATAACTCACCAAATCATCAGCAATAATAAACACGATATTCGGTTTATCAGCTTTACAAGCTAATGTCACTATTGCAATAGACACTATTATTGATAACATAGCTACTCTCACTTAAACACAAAAAATAAACCAATAAATAAATTCACTAGCAATTTCAAAATTGTTTATCTATTAATGAATGATTATTATAAATGTGTTAATAGTTAATTAATTAATAACGTGATTTAAAATAAACACGTTCGCACTGTTTAAATATTATGCTTGGACTGTGACGCGATGCGTCATTTTAAGATATCGCATCTCCCTGCATCTATTTTGTCTACGAATAGTAATGCTTAATTTTGCTCTTAGGTTTCTCTCAGAAGCTGCATTGTTTAGTTTTTTGGTTAAATTAGTGGTGGCACACTAGATCATTAGAATTTTCTTCCGTGTCGTGGGTTTATAAATCACATACAAATCACCTAGTTTGCAATATCTGGGAAAAACCAATTGTTGTGTTCGTTTCTGTATTTGAAATAAAGAACAACCTTTACAAACTTCTTTAATTGATTGGTATATAATGTAATCGTTATTACTGTAGAAACTTTATACTTGTCTAAGTACAAATAAAATTAAATAAACGAAATTAATTCCTGTCTTTGCAAACAAGGTAACCAAGACACCGATTTTCAAAATCACGATGATTATACCCAACACATTTTAATCTTCTACACGTGTCAGCAAGTAATAAACGTTAGTATTAATTTTATTATAGCAAGAAAGAAAAGTCTGATAGTTTATCAATTTTATTTATATTGATTTATTAATAAATACAAATATCAGTGCAGTTGCTACGAACATTTACGTTATTTTTAACGACTGGATTATAATATTTAAGAATTCGATCTTCTTATTTACAGCTAAGGACACAAACAATAAACACTTATACTGCAACTGTATGTACAAAATACAAAAACTCAATCAATCCAAGTATCCCATGTAAAGTTATGTAAGCTAGGTGCAGACATAGGGTCGATAACAGTCGGTAAAATTCTGGGAATCATCTTTGTCATTTCAACATCTAATATTTGTTGCATGCTTGCCACCAATTCTGGGTAAGTAGCAGACAAATCTGTTGTTTCGCATGGATCCTCTATTATATTGAAGAGACATACAGTATCTGGAAATGATAAAATTTATTATTTAGATATATGGCTTAAGTATATAACTACACTTGAGTAAATACGTCACATAGTAGAAATAACTAATAAAGTTTATTTAGAGTACATCGACGAAAGACACTTACTGTTACTAGGATAACATATAGACGTTGTAGATACATCGCAATTAATTATCGTCTTATTCCTCAAAGTCAAGAAGTTCGTGTCAAAAGTTCTACCAATCGAGTGAAGTACACCATACACTTTGCTATCCGCAATAGCATCAATATATGAAGGTGGACTATCAATAACGCCTCTTAGATCACCGCCCAAATATCCACTGTAATTTTCATCGGGTTTACCAGTTATTAACTTATAGTCTCCGTATGTGATCGATGCATATCCTGTGTAATCATCGATTTCAAACATTTCCTTCCTTTGTGATGCTGAATTAGAATTTATACTTTCCCATTGATCAACTCCATCGACGTCTGTTGGAGGTTCTACACCAGCAGCACTCAATAAAGTGGGCAACCAATCCGTAACGTGCATGTATCCATCCCAATAATGACTCGTATTGTTTAAGTTTGCACTCCACAGTAGCCCGACAACTCTCACGCCACCCTCATATGGTGACATTTTGATTCCTCTCAACGGATAGTTAGAAGCATAATTGGCATAAAGCCCTGTCGTCATACCTCCGTTGTCAGCAGCGAACACAATGATTGTATTTTCTAAAATTCTCTTGTCTTGTAAAGCTTTAACGATATCGCCAACACTATCATCGAGTTTCTTTATCATGGCTAAAAAGTTAAAAGTTTCATGTAATAGTAATTAAATGGTTGATATACATATATAGATTTGTTAGAATGTAATACTTACCAGCAAATATCCTTCTGTCAGGTGACTCAATGTACCTCATCTGTCTAACTACTTCTGATGGTGCCTGCAGGGCAACGGTATCGCTGCCGGCATGAGGAGCGTTGTGGGTAACCATCAGGAATAGAGGGGTGGATGAATCGTGATCATCAATAACTAAAATTAAGAAAAGTGTTATAAAGAACCACATACTTCAATATAAGAAGTATTAAAAGTATGATTTTGAAACATTTCCTTAATCTAATATTACCTTTGATAGCTTCATCTGTGTAAACATCAGTGATGTAACCTTCAACGTCCCAAGCCGCAGTCAGATTTCTAAACAAGGCTAATCCTGAAACTTGACCGTCTTCCCACTAAAACCAGAAATATTTAAAATCACGCGTCATTCATGTTTTTGTTGATGAAAGCAAAACGTTACAAGGACACGAAGAGCGTCTAGATATGCTTACAAGATGACAGCAAAACATGACATTTCTTTTCAAATCAATAATTAATGTGTCGCAAAAGGGGTAAAAAGTTAAGGTGAAGAGATGAAGATACTTACATCTTCTTTAATAGTGTATTCATAATAATCTATGTAACCACCCCTATGTCCGATGTAACTATCGAACCCTCTGCTGGTTGGTAAATATTCTCGTCTGGAACTGCCAGCATGCCATTTACCAACCAAATGAGTGGAATAACCGACATCTTTGAAATACTGTGGTAATAACCTCACATTAGTTGGGATACCTCGATCTTCACTCATTCCAAGGGGATTACCTTGCATTCCTGGAATACACATACATGATAACATGTACAAGTAGGTCAAAGAGAAAGGGATTTACTTTAAACAAACAATATACTAGAACTTTTAAATAAAGAAAAGTATTTTTTAAAAACCGACGTGCTCTAGTACTATGGAAGCGCCATCTATAATGTCGAGAAAACCTTAACATTATGGCAACAATTTATTTAAGAAACGATTTTGAATAAAAAAATGATTACCGTCTTACCGTAATTTACTTTAGTAAAAACAGCTTGCGTAATAAATTTTAATATCGTGCAAAAACAAAGTAATTGCAAAAGAATAGTAATTCCTCTAAATATTTCATACCTGTCTTATATGGATATTTTCCAGTAAGGAGTGCTGATCGCGAAGGAGTACATATTGCGTGGCTGTAGTACCTCCCGAATGCTACTCCGGAATATGCCAAGGAGTCAATGTTTGGTGTCAAAATTTGATCGGAGCCGTGAAAGCTGACATCGTTCCATCCCTTAAACATAATATAACATCACTCTATTTTTCGGTGAAATATTAAAGAGTGGTGTTTATAGTACACAAAAATGTTTTTCAAAATTCACAATTTTTAAACTTTATGCTGCTACAAAAAAAAATTAGAAATATCAATACCTTCCAGACTTAAGCAGTTGGCCCTTAATTAAAAGTTTATCTTATATATTTTGTCTGTGTTATTATTTTATTGAAAATGATCGATTAATAAAACAGGACTTACCAAATCATCAGCTAGTATAAAAACGATGTTTGGCTTACTCGCATCACTGAATGACGCTATGCAGCCAGCAATGATGAGGAATTGCAACACACTATGGACTCCCATTCTATAAGATTAAGTTAGTTAAGTAAGTAAGTTTCAAGAAATCCACGAGAAACTGCGGACACTTTGCTTCGCGGTTTAGAAGACTTATTTTAGTTACAAATGATGTATCGTTGTGAATTAAATGAATAAACAATAATTGATCACGAAATAAATAACCTTCTGACCGGTTTCAATCAAATTAACCAGTCCCAAACCAGACTAAACAACTACGTAGGTAGATGTGCTAAAATACGGATTTACCTGTGTCTTAGTACCAAAATCCGGTGTAATGACAATGAAACGTGACTGGCAAGAGACGGTCTGTACATCTTTATCGGACATATTGTCTATTATATGTACATTGTGTATACACAAAGCATTATAAACTTACAAAGTCTGTTAGTAAACGTAACTATGAATTATACGTTTTAAGAAAATAATGAAAGAAAAAGCAACAAATGAAGGAAACAATACAAAAGAGCGACAACTGAATGAGTTAAATGGGAAAAATAAGGCATATCATGCCGATGCCGACCCCAAATAACTTGGGGTTTGGGTGTATAAAAAAATGTGTTGCATGAGATCGATTGAAATTGTCAATTGAATTCTACTTTCGTATGGGTATTTGACTTTTGTCGAAAATATTTAACACGTAAAAAAAATCTAAAATATAATAATATCTACCTGAATCTGTATCTAGACTTCGACTGTACAGTTCGAATTTAGCAAAAAGTCTTTATAATACGATTTATATATCTAGCTAAATTACAGTCATAAAAACATCAATTCATTATAGATCTAACAAATAAACTGGAAGTTATCGGGCATGTAATAAAAGATGTAATCATGGATAATAAATAATGTTTTAAAAAACGTATGTGATACATTTTTTGACATTGCTTCCACGTGTTTCTGATTTCTTTTGTTATGAATAGAACAGAAGAGCAGAAGGGTACAGACAAGGGCAGAAAGAGCATTCACATGCATGCAGACTGGAGTATCCATAAAGATATCGGCAATCTCGTCTTATCATATTATCAATGAAAGCAATGGCTGGAACTCTAACTAGGCACTCTTTGACTACCTCCTCAGGTTAATGCATTTAACTTGTAACGCCTCTGGTGTTCCAGGTGTCATTGGGTAATCCGTCTGCTCGTTTCTCGGCTTATGCCATAAAAAAAGCAAGACGAATTGCACTAGGAGGTTGTTTGACTTCCGTGTAAAGTGTTGATTCTGCCTTTACATCTATCAGTGCTTTACAAAACCTCAGATTCTTTTTTATTGGAGTCATCACAAAACTAACAAAGAGAAAATGATATGAGTACTAATGAGAAGACGCAATGATATGAATACTACAAATTACGCCTACCTAATCCGATGATCCGTTTAGAGTATATGGCAACCCGAAATCGGAGCGACAAATGTGTAGGGATGCAGATTTTGATTCCCTCAATAACTTTTCACTTCACCCTATATTAGTGGGTTCATCAAGGCTAAAACCTTAAACAATCTTGCTCCTCTTTCCTCTTCCGACTATCTACCACTTTTCTTTAATCAACTCATAGCTTGTGGTGTGAGGAATAGTATAATTTCCATCAGTTCCAATGCGGTTGGAAGTGACTGTGTTAGCCATAAGATGGTATTGCCTATCCTGGACGCCATCCTTCCTGTCATCAGCCACATCCTTAAACATTCCTTATCCCGTTACGTTTTCCCTTCCGCATAGAAGGAAGCACAAATCCTAATAAACCGAATCCAGAGTCCTTTTTCGACTATCGTCCTATTTCTATTTACCTCTTCCTTTGTAAAGTCCTAGAACGTCTCATGTAATAACCAGTAGTTACTTACTATTTTTTATTTATTTCTCCTCTGTTGTCTCTTATCCGATATATGTTTATATTTTATTTTTATTTATTTACTTACTAGCTTGGTTACCCGTGGTTTCGCTCGCGTCACTAAAGAATAAAAAGTAGCCTATGTGACATTTGCCAATACACACAGCGCCATCTACACCAATACTTTTGTTTTTCCTCAGGAATATCATTTTTTTCCGGGTTAAAAAGTACCCTATTATTTAATCCGGACTTCTAACTTTACGTCTGCAAAAATTCAAAGCTATCGGTTGAGTAGTTGCGGCGTGAAAGTATAACAAACAAACAAACAAACTCACTTTCAAATTTATAATATCAGTAAGGATTTTTCTTTCATGTGTTTACATTTACATATGTCCTGTCCATATAGATGACGATAGATAGTCATAACAGTCGAGTGGGATTTTTCACGATGATATTTCTTATGCTTTCTGCTTACTCTGGACAATCATTTTGAATAGTATGTAATGAGTCGCTCGCTTTGCCGCCCCATGACCGTGCGCCCGTGTGCTGTGCACGCTTTACACGCCCGCTTACGGCAGGCCTGCATTTATGTTCATATTGCTTCATGGTCCACAATAAAGATTATTATTATTATTACTTTACAAAAATGTCATCAAACTTCGCTTATAATAAGTTTAGGGTAGTGCTAAACTCGAACTTGTCATAATTATGCAAGTTGTCGAGAACCAAACAAGCGAACATCTGGGTCATCCAAAAACTCATCAGCAAGATTATCACATGGCTAACTTTGGTCGTTACGGCCACGGGAACGTCGGTGTTAACTTGGACAGTATCGGACCAAAGACTGTAGGTGACTATAACTGCCGTTCAGTAAATGTCACGAAATCTAAGTCAGCATGGCAACAATTTGGCAAAAGGCTTGCCTGATATTTTATTGTTCATTCTAAAGATATTATATCTACATTTTATGCACACTATATGCATTTTTGTACAATAACATTATTGCATCTAAAGATAACAAGGTATGGCCTACCACGTAATAAATTGCAGAAAATTTTTGCCTCTTTCTCTGATTGAGAAGAATCTAAGTTTGTAATACTGTTTTAGTACCATTACCATTTAAAAGTGGATATATACAAAACAATCTATTTAAGCTTTCATAATAAAAATCACCTAT